TTCTATGGCTTATCAACCCTATTCAGGTTATTTAAAGCCAGAAAATATTCTTAGATTGTAAGAATTTTTGTGGAGATATTAATGATAATAATGAGAGGGATGGGCTCTGCCAGGCTAAAATGCCCAAGATACACCATATGAGGAGCAAACCAAGAAACCTTTCATGGAGAGCAAGGCTCTGGCAAACAACCGTGACAGAGGAGAATGGTTGAGAACTCAGAAAATTGATGCCCAAACGACTCCTTCTGGGGTTAAGGGTGAACAAAGAAGAAAAAGAAATTGTTTATTGATATACATTGTACTAATTAACCCATATGGATGCATACTTTTTCCAATGGCATCTGCACATAAGTGCATATCATGAACCGGACTAGAATTAGAACTTGGCTCTCAATTTACAGTTCTGAGTTCTTGCTTGGTATTCATAAGGGGTCACCTATCTAGGTACTGACCAGGCTTGATGTTGCTCAACTTTGGTGATTGAATGAGAACCAGTTTTTCAACATGATATGGCTGTAAGTGTCAAGCCCACTAGCAATGGTTGACTAAACCAGCTTGATAAATATCTTTCTATATTTAATATATATATATAGGGGAGAATTTCTACAGAGATTTTATTGTTGTAGAACTTTCCATGAGCTTGTTCAGTCATTAACTTAAGAGATTAGGATTAAGATTCATCAGAAAATCTAAATAGGAAAACCATGAAGTTTTTGAAGATCTTTCTAGTAAGAATAATAATAGATACTGAGGAGTAACATTTGCTATTCATTAAAACTTTGATTCTAACTGTACATATTACTGATGTTTGCATCCAAAACAAATTACAAAGAACAAAACTCATTTACCAGTCACTTGTGAACATACAACACAGTCCTCACCCAGCTTTCCACTGACTAGCCAAAAACTACCCTACATTGTACCTACATTCTTGTTCCTGTCAGTGTGCACAAAAAAACTGAGAAGGATCTATTGCATGCTCATAAGAAAATGAAAGAGAGAAACAAACACCAGGGCAACAAATGAGTACACTGTTTCCAATATATTCAGGTGTTTATTCAGGGCTTCACTTGCTCAATCTGGGTGTATAGGTAGGTGACACTTGGGGCAATTTCTGCCATGTCGGACTAATAGATCACCTCCTAGCAACCCACTGTCCATCTCAACATCACAATGCATAGCTAACAACATAAGTGGGCAAACTGAGACTAACCAAAGTACAGTCTGTACCCCATGAAGGTCTGACCAGAACTCACTACTTCAATCTCAACTATGGTTGTTAATATAGACCAGCAACCAAAAATCATCAATGTCCAGTTTGTTGTCACTTTACCCCAAAAGCTTTTCATTTGGTTAACTTTCAAGTGGTTAACTGCTTTGAAGACCATACCTCACAAATTTATCACTGGTCATAAAACAAAACACTTGAGATAAAATCATGCAAACTCCTCATCTATGTAGGTTTTTCAATCATAATGTTACACACTCACTCTTCAGTTTCTGTTAGTACCAATAAAATAATTGCTTGTTCATAATAATGTTCCATATTCTTATTTCTAAAGTAAATAATTATTGTTGGAAAGACAACCACATTTTTAGCAGTTTCTCCAACTACACTCTAGTTTATTCAACTTTCTATTTCCAACAGAAAGCATAAATTTAATGAGCTGAACACAGTCTGACATAGAATCACACTAAAATGGTACACCATCAGAATAGAGCTCCTTACATTAACAAAGGTCTGCAAGACTGTCTTATCTGCTCTTTGACAGATGGCTTTTATTAGAATGTACCAAAAGTATTTTCATTTTTTTACCAACTTTTACTACAAAGATTATTTCTTATACCCAACTAAAGACAATGACTGTACTACATTAATATTATAATATATATGAATATCGATACTATTTAGCTATACTTTTCCTTTCAGATATTATAAAGGCAGATACAAGTCCTGAGATATGGGCAATTTTGAGACATTATTTTTAAAGTGGACCTCAAAACAACTGAAGCCATTTATAGAATTCAGAAAGTGAAAGGAATCTGACCAGACTAGCCTAAACTTGTTTAAAGTATTTTAAGGGTGGTTACTTGTTTATTGAAACAAAGTTTACAGGTGGATGACCATCAGCTGATTATGATACTTTAAAATGCAATGTAAAAGAGAACCTAATCAGAAAACTTTCAGAAATCCAAGGATCATTGAAAAACGCCATATGGAGAGCATTCTTTCACTTCTGTGTATCATGTCTCTTCAGGGCATTGGAGATCATGGCTCTCCACAATTACCTATCCTCAGCATTCACTATCCTGATGCACCTTCTGATTTCAATATCACCCTTCATATCCTCTATTAAAACACTTAAAAGAGGTTTGATAGATTCTCTGATAAGTGACACTATACGTTCTTTATTTAGAGGCAAAAAAAGAGGTGAGCAGCAGTAGGAGAAAAATATCTGAAACAATGTAGTCTAGTCACACTTTCCCTCCTCTGTTAAAACACTTCTCAGATTTTTAAATTGTTATACGTGTTTGATTTTGATATCTCCTATTTGAAATTTGAATGTTGGGTTGTTTTGTTTGCTGATAACCATGCATTCTGTTTTCTTGCAATTGATGTTTAGTCCTTTCTTCTTGTTTTCCTTCACTACCTTCTATTGCTTAGAATTACAAATATTTGAAAGTCATGGAGAGCCATGATCACAAACATCCTGAAGGGACACACCACATCAAAGAAGTATGGATAGCTCTGCATGACACAGGGTCATATATGTCTATTTTATTCAGTTGGAACTTGACATTTTGAAGTAGATCTAATTGGTAGTGGTTGTCTATTGTCTATTGGTTTACATGGGCATATATATATATAAAGTGACAAGAAATAAAAAAAAAAGGAAATAACCACTATGTACATGTGTATGCTCGCACAATCACACACACTATGAAAAAAATATCAACCTTGCACCAATAAAATATGCCTATATGAATAAACAAGAAGTATAAACCATCAATTACTGATACCTCCTGATGAGTGGATGAAGTGATTGCTGATGGCCCATCTACAAAACTCCAATGGGATGCTGAAGATATCACCAATCAGCTAAGTGACAAACTTTATATATATCAAGATTGTGCTTGTGTATCATTCAGGCAAATAGCATTTTCTTGCAGCATCTCAATTTAAATTTGTGGCAAGGAAAATAAATTATGTTCAAAATGAATTCTAAAAACAAAAATATTGGTTTCCTTTCTGTGTCTGCTATAAAAATTGTGACATATTGTGTTGTTAAGATTGTGGCCATCAGTAACAAATCCTGGTAGGATTTTTTAATTCTATGCAAATTGCTTCACTGTAGAAGTTAAATAAGTTCAGTGAGGAGACACATCATCTTTGTCTCATGCCCCTTTCTATTTTTGTATATTTAATGAATTCTTTTCTCTATCCTTACACAAGCAGTTTGCTGCCAGTGTAGGGTCTGGATTATCCTAATATCCCTCCCAAATACTTCATGGTTACATAGCAGTTCCAACACAAAACATCCAGGAATCATGTGCAGTTCTTTATAAATAAAAAGTAGATTAAAAACATGGAAATACTTTTGTTACATCCCAACAGATATTTACAAAAATCAGTTTATTTTGCAACATAACTAAAATAGTTGGGGTACACATTGAGAACCAAACTCACTAGCAAGGGTGTGAAAAACTAACTTACTAAGCACTGTACATATTATGGCAGCAGTTAGCAAGTTCATCTTGAAAACCATAAATATTAGTGCCAATTATGACTGAAGAGACAGTTCAATCCTCACTAGGTGCCCTATATTTCGGCCTTGTGCCATATCTAAGCTACGCTTAGAAAATCACCATACTTGTTTGTTCCAGGAGTTTCACTAGTGTAGCCTTGTGCTTGACTAAACACTTTTTAAAAATTTTAAATGCCATGTTATTTTAGATTGTAAGTGATCATGGCTTTCTACAGAATCCTTTTCTTTATTACCTGTGAATATGCATGCCTTCTTGAGAAGGCCAGAAGAGTGATTTTCTTCTCCACAGATTTGAATTCATTACTGCCCTTTTTCAAAACTGGCTACCAACCAAGATGTGAGAGCTCAGTCTACCTGCTATTTAACCCATAGCTAGAGAGAAGAGATGACTTCACACTTTTCCAAGGGCATCAGTGTGAAAGTGAATACAACAGACTAGGCTGGAATTTGACCTCTTCGTGCCAATTTTATTTCCCCCATCAATATCTGTTATGATCTCTGTACAAATACAGCCAGACTACACTTCTTTTGTATGCCATGTCCCTTCAGGACATGGGCAATCATGACTCTCCAAAACCTCCTATCTCTTGTAGCATTTAGCAACATTTACACAAGCTTGTCAGTTAGATAGCTGGCTGCCTTCCCCCTGTCCATTTTGCCTTCAACATGCCCTGTGAGTGTCAAATTCTTTAAGCTCTCCTTCCTTGCTATGTCACAGAAATTTCAGCTGTCTCTTTCTGATTCTAAGCATCAGTTTTGTTTCCATTTTCCTTAAGACTTCTTTTTTGCTTACCGGTTCCATCCATAGAATTCTCAGCCAGACTATACAACACACTTTGCAAATAAACAGGACTGGGCTCCTGAAGGCATGTCCCATTATCTACAACACAGATGATTCTGTAGAAACTTTCCACACAAGAAAGTGTTTATGAAAGCTGCTCACTATATACGAAAACTGTTGACGACCAAGTGAAGTTTGTTTTTTTTTTTCTGCACAAAATCAGAAAGCAGGTAACCTCTATGAAGATCAGCCAATGTTCTCCTGAAGAACCAAATTAAGAAGACAGGGATGAAAAACACTGCAACGAAATAGCAGCATACGTTTTTTAAGAGTGCTTACATGCAGCAGATGAGAGGCCGAGTGAGAAGTTATATGCCAAAATTCTACTGCAACTCATCAACAAGGTTAGTCAATTAGCCATAACCACACGAGAGATTTCAGCTACAACTGACCTGGCCTCCATAATCTTGGCTGTGGAAACGACGCTCAATCACCTATAAAGGGAAAATAAAAATAAAAATTCATAAAAACATGTCAAGTATCTTGTATTTTTTGAAAGGGTCAGTTAAAGGCTAAAATGTGTACCATGTAAGAAATCTGAAGCCAACTAAAACCAGGTATTAGGTTCTTGCATTTTATACAGATAAGAAGAATCTCCAAAAGGTCATGATTAGCTACATTTTGATTGGTTAGAAAACATTTAATCACATGACCTGCAAGTGAAGGCAAAAAAAAGGGAAGAATCTAGATGATCTTTATAAACTATTAAAATATTCTGCTAGAAATCTAAATGGCATAACCAGGCACTAAAACTTGTAGACTAAATACTTATACATTTTCTGTCATGACCAGAGGTCAGTAATTGAGTTTAGGCAAACATTAGTATTTCAAATGCTGATTTCTGAGGCAAAAAAAATCCTCTTCACTTGGGAGATTGGTGTAACCTCATCTTTCTTACCTCATTCATCCATATTTATTTATTGATTGATTGATTGAATGGTTTATCAACCATTTGAAGGTTATTTAAAGCTAGGAAATATTTTTAGGTTGTTGTTTAGGATTGGGTTTCCGGTTCCTTCTAAAGTCTTTTTCATTCCCATTCACTCTCAGTAGCCATTTGTATCTTTGTGGCATTATCACCTAGTTGGGGTGAATTTTGGGAGATAATAATGATTTATTGAAACAAGTCTTACTAATTAACCCATAGCTTGGGGGGAAGAAGAGTTGGATTCATATCTTCCCCATGGGTATTTGCACATAAATGAATATAACAAACCCGGCTGGAATTGCGACTCGGCTCACCAACTAACAATTCTGAGCCACTATCCATTACACCACCTGCACATCCAAGCTTACAGCACCTGGTGTTCCCATGCAGTCAACCATCTAGGTACTGACCAGGCTTAACTTTGGTGATTGTACCTCATTCACATTGAATATTGTACCATAATAAGCTGAGTAAATATCGGCCAGATATTACAGCTCATATTTGCAGAATGTGTATGGACATATATGGATTAGAGAGAGAATAAAATGAAGAGTACAAAAAAAAACATTAATGACTGCAGTAAAAATGGATGCATTCCAAACAACTGGAAAGAATAACAAAAAAGTTTATAATTATCACAAAGAAGGAAAATGCAAAATAAAAAAGGTTAAGAAAAAAAGGGGGAGAAGAATAAAAACTGGTTAAGCTTTTGGTTTTTTTTTTTTTGTTTTTTTATTTCTCAGAATTTTTTTGTATCAATTCACCCCAAGCAAGGTGATAATGTCACTAAGACACAAGAGGATACTGGGAGTGTAACAGAAAGAAAAACCTTTAGAAATAATTTTTTTTATGGTAGGAGTAGATAGGTTCACCTATCGTCCAGTTCACAATCCTCTCCAGTCTTTTGAACAGGAGTAGAGTTTTATCCATTATTTCCTGATTAGCATTGGGCTTCAGTTTCATTCTAAAGTCTACTTCAACTCTATACTTCGAACATCTCCATCTAAACTCTGAAATTTTATTTACTATTTATTTTTTTTCCTCCCATCAGTAGAAGTAGATATGTCCGCCTATCATCCAGTTCACACTCCACCCTAGGCTTTTGAATAGGAGTATGGCTTAGGCCTTGTTTCCTGTTTAGGAATAGGTTTCCAGTTCCTTCTAAAGTCTTTTAATTCTCTTTCACTTCCAGTAGCCCCTTGGTGGCTTTGGGGTGATTTTAAAAACAAAAAAAGGAACTGGAAACCCAATCCTAAACAGGGAGAATCCTCAACTCTTGTACAAAAGGCTGGAGAGGAGTTTGAACCCTACGATAGACAAACCTATCTACGCCTCAACATTTTTGTTTTCTAATTAGCCTCTTTATAGTAATTATAAACTTTTTATTCTTTCCCATTGCTTTTACTATGCCCATTTTTATTTTAATCATTAAAATGAAGAATAAGCTTAAAGTCTAAAACTGTTTGAATTCAGAGATAAAAATTATTTTCATTATTAATTTCTGACTAATTTTCTTTTCTATCACGTTCTTGGCTAATTCCTTCTTTGGATTTCAGCACAAAAATCAGAATGAAAGTCACAGCTTCCAATAAGACATGAACATGCATCTTCCATAGCAAGAGCTCAGCTTTTATTCTGTAACCTATTTGATTATGGATGCCTATAATTAGACACAGGGCAGCAATCTACAGGTATACTGACACTAAGATACTCCAAATATTCACATTATAATGTTTATTCCTTGGGACTTAAAAAAAAAAAAATTATCTATATTAGCACTGTTTTTACAACAGAATGTTTGGTTGATATATAAATCTCCATACCTTATCAAAGAACTTTGCCACTTTTACAGCATTTGTGGTGCCAGGAGCCAGAGATTTTTTCTGTTTACAATCCTGTAAAGTAAAAGAGTTTAAGAAGTATCAGGAAGACAACAAAATAAGCTTGGCTGAAATTCTATCACTGTTCACCTCAGCCAAATTTGGTAATGGCCTTTTGCTGCTAATCCATTGACAAGTTAGGGAGAGGATTGCTTGGATAAGTACTTACCTACTTATTTTCCTATCAACCATCCTAGTATGCCAAAAAGGAGACACTTTCTTGTTAAGATATCTGGTGACGAAACCGAGTATAGGGAGGAGCGGGTTCATAACTTTCCAGAGAGCATCAGTGCAAATTTACTTGGATTACCAATTCCATTCTCATTACAGTTAACTGATGATACACGATTGGCTGCATCCCTACTGGCTGTATTTACTGGCCAAATAGGCAGGATTTTACATGGGCATTTGTGCTCATCATAACTAATCCTGATCTCCAAGCCGTACCTAGCGAGAGCAGAAAGGAGCTCCCTATTGAAAATTTCTTATAACTTTTTGTTTTTATGTTAATATCACATTTACATGTAAAAAATATTGTGATCCCTAAAGTGATATAATTTCATTTCTAATTTCTGTTTTGATTTCTGAATGACAAGTGTGGCAGTCTGTGGTACAAGTGTAGAGGTAGTGGTGCAGTGTTCATAGAGCTTGTGTTTCAGTGGATGCTAAAACCATCAGAAATTTTTTCATTCCAGGCTGATGAGTACAGGATCTGTGTTAGATACCCCACAGAAGCGGTTATCCTTCAACATCCAGGTTGAAAGAAAATGTGCAAAGGTACACAAAATTTTCAACAATATATCCAGACAATTACAAACACTGATGGTCATCGCTGGTGTCTATGTAGAATTTTAACACTATACTGTACTTCTAACATTATACTGTTCAAAATAAAACACATTTTATGAAAATTGATCAAAAAGTTAACAATTTAAATAGGGAGTTTCTATCCACCCACTCTGTACATCAAGCTTACAAAAATCAGCTTCCTATCCATTACACCAGCACATTGGATACAAAATATTTAAATACATTTTTTAAGTGGTTAGAGAGAATGTGTGAGTATTGTAATTGTTAATGGCATGGAAAGTTGAATTGGTGAGCTGAATTCAAAATCAAACCAAATCTGTTACATTCGCTTTCACACCCTTGGGAAAGACTATAACAAGAATAGCTCTGAATTCAAAACCATTGAGAAGGCAACAGGAAAACCACAACAATATCTTTCCCAAGGATAGGTCAGGTCATGTATTTTTCTTTGTTGCTGATACCATGTAACCTAGTACAACCTATCAGATATTACTTGAAGAAGAGATGGGCTAAGTAATACTTATTGTTCCGATGAAGGACAATTACTCAGCAAGGCACCCCAACAATATTATCAGTCATAGGTTGAACAAGAATTAAAGGATAGAAAATACAGTAATTCAGGAAAGAAAATGAATCTAAAAATCTGATTTCAAAACAGACTGAATTTATCTATTAATGTAAATTTATTAAATGAATGTGCTGAAAAAGATCTTTCCCTGTTATTTTCTCAATACAGAAATATTATTTATTACAATAATTTTAATGTAAGTCAACTACCGCGAATAAACATACATCATAGGCAAGGTTTTAGAAGCACAACAGAAAAAATATTTAATTTCACTCCTTACCAAATTCAGTTCACAGGCTCCACATTCTTCAGCTACAGTGGAACGTCGAGAGAGAATGTTTTCCCGCAGACTCTGGGCAAGGTCCACTTTGGTTCCAATCACCAAAATGGGAATTTGGCTGCCAACAAAACTCTCAGGATCAAAAACATATCTATGCAAAAAAAGAAAAAAGAAAAGAAAAATAAATATACAAGAACTTAAATTTTAATATCAACATGTAATTATTCAGATTACCAGAAAAATAATTATAAAACTTTTCAAATGTTATTTTTTCATTGTTTCTCTCTTTTTAAGTCTGTTTTACTAGGTTGTTTCATACAATTTGTCATATTTTGATGAATGATAAAAAGAAATCACTTTTATTTAATCAAGCTATTTTCTTTATTTACTCAACTATTCAACTCTGGGAGCCGAGTTCAGATTTCAGTGTGAGAAATCAGAGAGCTGTGTTTGAATTCCACTTGGGTTTGTTACATTTACTTAAGTGCAAATACCCTTGGAAAAAAGTATGAATCCATCTCTTTCCCCTCCAGCTATGGGTTGAATAGCAAGACATACTGGGTTTTATAGCCATACTTGGTAACAAGTTTACCACAAATCTGCCTAGTCAGTCATGAATTGAAAGAGACACAATCATTCAAGTGTGCATCACACATGGAACTTAACTGACTGATTCAAATGCTTCAACTGCTTATTTACTGTAAGAGAATCTTCTATTGTGTAAAGAGTTTAAATAAATGATGATTTGTAGTCGAGATGTCTGGTGAATAAGATGGATGCTCTGAAATCTCAAACCAAGGCTATGCAACTTTTGAACAGTGAACAATGTGTGAGGGTGTGCATTGTTATGGAGCAAAATGGGGCGCATCTCTATTCACTTAAATCTATGCTGTTTCTTTTTTAATTTTCCTTGCATACAGTCAATTTTGTTGCAGTACTGACTATTGTTTTTGGATTTTGTCAAACCAGCACATTCAATATATCATATTTTATAACTGAATTAGATCTTCCTTTTCAAGGCTCTCATCCCCTGAATGAAATTTCTGAAACCATATCTCAATAGTTTTGATTTTGACAATACTTCTGCCAAATACCAAGCTGATGTTTCATTGAACTTTTATGACATTGTAACCTAATCTGAACTCATAATGTAAGCAGTCAACATTGTTTAATTGTTATCATTTTCTGGGGTTTCAAATAATGTTTCCTGAAACAATCACTTGACAACAAAATAGCAAGGAGATTAGCAAGAAATAAATGTTAAAATAACGACTTATGCCAGTAAACTTTCTTAAATTTCATAGAAAAGTCGGCAAACAAAAAACACAACATTTCATATGGGACAACTTAAGCCAAATGTAAATTTATGAAATAAATTGTTTTCAATAGACTATTTATATTGATTTTAACTTTTGTGCATCCATACTTTCAAGATGTTAGTCAATTTTTAACTCTTGTAATAAAATACTCAGATTTAATGTTCTTTAGACATTGAAAATTACTTGCACTTAAATTTAAAAATATATAAAACTTTGTCTTTTTCAAATACTTTGTAATAAAAATAAAATTATATATATAATGACATTATTCTTCCAGCAATTATTGCATAAATCCCTGAACATTGAGAATGGCTTCTCATTTACAATTCTTTTTTATAGTAGGAGTAGATAGGTTCACCTAGCATCTGGTTCACACTCCCGCAATTCTTTGAAGAGGAGTAGAGGTTTATCCCTTGTTTCCTGTTCCTTCTAAATTGTACTTCAACTCTAAACTAATGTCTTCACCTAAAATCTGATTGTTGGGTTTCCAATTCCTTCTAAAGTCTTTTCCTTCTCTTCCACTAGTCCCTTGTGTCTTAGTGGCATTATCGCCTTGCTTTGGGGGCGGGGAACTGATTAAAAAATAAAATAAAATTATTAGTCTTACATTAGTCTTATATTATACATGCATATCCTCTGTCAATAGCTATTTTATAAATTCCTGACCACTGACATTTTTTTCTTTCTACATGTATACTGTGTGCTAAAAGTTACAAAAACAAATTTTAGGTAGAAAATTGCAAAATTTAGTGACTAAATTATCAAATTTTACTTTTACACATTCATGTTACTCTGTTGATCTTCATTTATTCATAACCCTGTGAATGATTTTGTTGGGATGCCACATCAAGCTGAGTAGTCAAGCTGTTATTCTGTCCAAAGAGAATCATAATGAGGCAAATTAAATTGCTTGTGGAGTTCCACTGAATTTCTCCATTTTACCCAATGTTTGTACATTCCTTAACAAAAAGAATTTAAAAATACTTTTGACAAGATGAGTTAAACTATTAACAGGTAGATTTTCTGTCATCAGATTTTTCAACAAGTAGTAGAGGCTCTAGGAAATAAAAAGAAAAATAAATAGTAAATAAAAAGAAAAATATTTACTCATTAGCATCTTTGTTTAGTCCTTTATTTAGAACTTCAGCCAACCATTTCCGTAGATTCTGGTGTGACTTTCTGTTGGTCAGATCATGAACAAGAATTATGCCTAAAAGAATAAGAAAAAGAAATTATCAGCAGATCTGGGAAACATAACATTCAATATTCAGAGAATATTTGGCCCTAACCCTGTTTTCATTTCATTTTATCTGGTATTGCTATATTTCTAGGGAGGTGAGAGGCTAACAATTGTGTTAACCTTTCAGCTACCTGGAAATAGAGACATTTGTAGTAGCAGCATTATTAACAACTAGCTTAAAAGCTGCACTCCATACTGACTTTTAAGCTCACTCATGCAGAGGGATAATTGGGCCTCCATCCCCAAACTAAAGGGACCTTGGGTCCAGCTTGGAAAACAGCAATGATAATTTTGAAGAAATAACTTTGAATTTCTCAATTCATTCTATGGAACTTCAAAACCTCACTTTACTTCTGATTCGGGCTATAAGTCCAATTCGAGCCAAAAGACCAATTTGTGCCAAAACTCAAATTGGTGCCGAAGTTGAGTTCTTCAAGTCACAAACTCTGCAGAACTTCAAAACATAATGTCAAGAAACCTCTCATTTTAACTCCGATTCCTTGGTATTTTGAATAAATAAAAATTGATTTCCTCAATTCAAAGTTTTAGAGATATTTTAAACTGAATTTAAAACAAAAATCTTTTAAATTCACAAAGTTTTTGTGTTACTTTAAATTCAATATGAATTAAAACCTTTTTTTCAGTTATTTTAAAATTTGAATTGTTAAGTGTTCCCTCCTCATCCATACACAAATCCCAATACTGGATATTCAAGCATCAAATGAAGGGCATCATATTTTCAATCCTAGCATCACCCCAATTCCAAAAAGGAATAATATGTCTATGTAGAGCAAGCATAGCATGAGTTAAAGGAGGTTTCAGACACATGGATGAACAGACAGAATTTTGCCGTTTATTTATTTATTTAGAAGATATCAATCATATACTTTTAAGGATATTCATTGTGTAACTTCATTTGGCATATCGCTATAAACTAATGAGGAGTAAACACTTCTTTTTTTAAGTTCACCCTATACAAAGTTCTAGAGCCACTCAAGGTAGAAGGCTACAGTTAAAATGGTTATGATGAAAGAGGGGACAATAAGAACTGAAGATTAAAAGGATAAGGAGAATAGATAAATGATCCTTGACGAGATTAAAGTTCAGGGAAAAATCTACATGTGAGTCTGTTCCACAAATGAGTAATTCTTGAGAAAAAGTTGCCTGAGTAGAATATTCTAATGACAGAAATAATAATGCCCAGTTAAATATTTGCAATGTCTAAACATACAATAATGAAAAAACAGTAATAAACATTTTTGTAGATTTTCATTTTCATGCAACAACTGAATCAGCCATAAAGCTAAGTGTTTTTCCAACTGGGTAAATATTTACAATTTTCAACAGGAATTTGACTGTCTTTTATCAGCCAAGAGCTGATTCTAAAATGAAATTCACTATATTGAATGCTGGGCTTAATCACGGTTGACATGATTTTAGTCAAACATCTCCAATTTCCATAAAAATAGAAACCAGAAAAAAACATTAGTAATTTCTGCATGAGTAACTGAGTATTTGTGACCAAACTTGTAACTGCCAAGTCACCCAAAACTTCCTTTTTGGAGTGGCAAAAATTAATCTAAAGGTTTAGCATTTTAACAGAACTTTTTTACTTGCTCTGGAAAAAGGAAGTGTCGTATTTCATGAAGGATGAAAACATTAGTCACATATTTCATGGATTGGGAGGTTTTGTTTCATACAGTATATGAGAAAAAGTATTTTGGCTAGAAAAGTAATGTTTCCTCAAATAATTTCTTAATTTACTCAAACTAGCTTTTTGTCAGTAAATCATTTTTTCAGGATTAACTTTTTGTTCAGATTGTCCTAGTGATAATAAATACACCAGACTGTAAATCTATAAAATTTGCAAAAAGAGTTGATATTTTGTTCAGTGAAATATTTTCTGTTAATATGTTATTTTTAGAGATACAATTTATTTAAGTAAATGCTGTTTTTCAATTTTTTACTTAAATATATTGTATCTAAAAATAATGTGTAAACAGAAAATATATTAAATAACTGTCAGACTTAATCCATTTTATACATTATGTCTTGGTTGGTAGCCAACTCTTTATTCAAAACCTTAAGAGACTTATTTGGATACCTTGTGGCACACTATGTGTACCAGTTCTCCCTATTTGGTTCCTTCGAAAAGGCTGATTGGTTCTGCATGAGCGTTCACCGTTATAATCAAATCAGTTTGTGAATAGTTGGCTGTTTGGTTCAAAGAACTGAAATGCTGTACCCTCATATGTCAAAAATGATGATAGAGTCCAGTATGTATAAAGTATTTGAGTATCTTGTTGATATTTGCCAATATCTAATCTATCATGTCTTTATTTGTAGCTAATAAAAACTGACTGAATTTAGAAGAAAGTTGAAACATTAAGAATATGTATATATATCTATTTTTTTTTTAAATACACAAGAAATACATTAAAATGAAGTGTTCTTAAGACTTTCCCCACTATATAACTAACGACCACATTAATTCTTAATTTGGATTTGTCATCATGCTCCTGTCATTCAGGGAATTCCCATTAAAAGAATTTATGCATAACTTTTTATGAAAATATCTCAACATTTTTATTCACTTCTTCCTTCAGTCCAGTTAGTTAAGTGCCGTATGTGATATAAGCTTGGACAATCATGTCTCTTTCGATTCATGAGTGACTTGGCAGAAGATTTTCCTGCAGTGGGTTGCTGTTTCTTTCTTAGGTAGACTGATTGCCAACCAAGGCTATAGTATCCAATCTGTCCTGCTATTCAACCCCTAACTTATGGGAGAATAAATGGATTTCTACCTTTCCCAAGGGTATTTGCACATAAGTAAATGTAACAAACCTAACTGGAATTCAAACACGGCTCTCTAATTTCTCATTCTGAGCCAATATCCATTATGCTAACATTTTATCTAAGTACATATTTATATGTATTCTTTAAAGAAAGAAATAGATTTCTATATATATATATATGTATATAAATAAAAAGAAAGAACAGTAAGATATAAAATCCGGTGTTCTTATAGATATTTTTATTTTTACAAAATAGTGCTCAATGTAAATTTACAGAGCATTAATATTATAAATTAATTGATTTAAAAATATGTTTTTTTTCGCTACACAGTTCCAACCATTGCAATTAAATTAAAAGCATTAGTTCCATAATGGAACTAATGCTTTTAATTTAATTAAAAAATTAAATCAGGGTTTTTAGCTTCTATTTTTGAAACATGGATTTGGAACTGTGTAGCTAAAAAAAAAACATATTTTAAATCAATTAATTATAATATATATATATATATATATATATATATATATATATATATATATACTACTTTAACTATTATTTTCGTCTACCAGTCTGAATATTCAAGAGATCTTATTAAAGAAAAACATGCGCTCCCTGGCAGGATTTGAAGGGGAGAAACCATTGTTAGATCTGATGTGCTCTATACTAACTCAGCCATGGAGTATATCAACGATCATGCAAAGCCCAATAGTGCCTTATAAATAATAAAATATCTTGCAGTATATAGATTCTAAGGCTACAACCTCATTCTATAGATGTTAAAATTTGCAGAGAGGTATGTTCAAAAATGTTTGCAAGAAGTAAACACTGATTTAAAAAATTAATTAAAATCAAAAAATATTTATTAGGTAAAATAACAAAAAATTAAATGAATTTGAAAAAAATATTTCATTAATCAATGAATTAAACATTTTTTTTATTAATTTCAGATTGTCCTCCTTCCTTGGGATTTCATGACACATAATTTTTTTTTTAATATTTTCAAAATACTGTAATTATTAACGTCTATTGTGTATGTCTATTATTTTTGGTTTATATTTACTTATGTTAAATATAATTTGTAAAGTAGTTTCAGTTTAATAAAAGTTTCGTTGATTGGGTCAATGCCATGATAAATGAAACGGAAGTTGATGATTCCCATGAATGGTGAATGTAATTTAGAACAGAAAATATATTATTCATTTCTTTGTAAAAATATATACAAAACTTACAGGCTTACAAAAATATCAGAATTTATATTGCAATATCTGCAGATGTCAGTATTTCTTCTCGTAAATATTAATTTGTTATAATTAATTTATCAGAATGTTTATTTTCATATATTTAAAAATAAAAAAAAAATAAAACTTAGAAAAAAAAATAGAAAACAAATTAACATTCTATAATGATAATATTTATAAGGAAACATTTGAAATTCATTGAACGAGCAGGTAGTGCTACTTTTGGTTGAAATTTCTTTCTGATCTTTCTCTTAAAATAATTTTTCAGAAAAATAGGTTCATCATGTCCAGTAACTGTTATTGCTCTTTCCAGTATTGACAGCAGCTTCCTTCCTAACCTTTTGTTTGAAGTAATGTGGAGTGTCAACATCTTGATTATGTCATTATTCTCTCTTTGAGTTATAAATACTATCCATTTTAGTTGTTGCTGTTGTTGAAAGTCCTCAAATGATGTGGTTCCTGTTATCTTGTACTGTTCTTTGTTTGTGATTCTGTAATGCGAATTCACAGGGTTCGAAGAGGGATGACCTTCCCTCAGACCTACAGGTTTCATTCACTCAAAGCTATTTTTAACCCTTGATCTGAGAAAACAATTGTATACAGCTGACAATTTAGACATTTCTGAACAAGTTTATTGCCATACATGATATCCATATGAAAGACTTGATCTGATGAGGCTATTTAACCAAAAAACAAGTCATGTTCATAACATTTGGTTTTGTAGCAACCTGTGGTGTTGTGTGAAACTACCCCTGCTGCAGCCTCTCCTACACTAAATTTGTTATAACTGATCCATGAACTAAGGTATTTGAAGTGTTTATTATTTACTAATTCCACATCCTGAATGTTTCTGATGGATTCAGGATAGGTGCCATCACAGCTTTAGTTCCAAAACCAGATCCTAGTTTGTTTTGGGAAGGTTTGCTATTAGAGAGGAGAGTAACTCATGGTCATGAAAATATTTACTCATCATCTGTTTTAAAAGATATGACGAGAAAGGATTCATTGGTGCCAATGTTTGTTAATTATTTGCATTTTTTAAAGGTTTTGACCTACCGTGGACAGGATTGTAAAAAATGTATCGGCTGTTTTTGTGTTGAGTTGCTCCTCCAATATCCCAGAGTTCCACAAAATATGTTCTTTCTTCAGGTGTGCCTGCTTTGTATTCATGCAACTGAAAAGAAAAGCCAATTCATTGCCATTATTAATTTTTATTATGTTTTCTTTAATCTTTATTTTGACATTTTATCACAGCCCCACATGCCATTACGTTCTATGAACATTAAAATAAACAGAGTCAAGTACTTTCTAGAGAAACTTGAATTCATTTTTTATATGCAATGAAAATCAATGAAAATATTTCATACAAAAAAATAAAACAGATAAATTAAGATGCGTTTTTAATAATAGCACAAAGACAGCAAGAAATTCAATTAACAGGGAAAGAATGAAAGGCTAGAACATGTGATCTCTCAACTAAATTATAGTATACTTGCTCAGCATCACCCTCCCATTTGATTTTCCTATTCCATCATAGGAATGCCAAAGAGAAGGTGGATTTCCATTCCTACAGAAGTTCACCTTGTCTTTGCTATTTCTATGTCAGAGAAGTTAGGCTCATGACTTTCCAAAATAATCTACAAAGCAGTCTTTATTGGCTGTACTTGATAAAGTGCTATTTGCAAACTTTGCATCTTTTATGATGAACAGAAAAACAAACCAAAAGCAAGACTTGAACCTCCACAGTTTACTTTATGACCAAAACAGTTATTTTACACTGACATCAGAGGTCAGTATTTGAGCCAAAGTAAAAAGCTAGGTCTTTGAATGGCAGTTTACAAGACAAGCAGGCCCTCTTGATGTAAGTCTTTCTTCACCCCACATCACTCATTTTCCCTAGACATCAAGTGCTACTCCTATCAGTCAGTTAAGTGCCATACATGACAGCAGTTTAAAAGATCATGTCTCTTATGATTCCTGACCGAATAGGTAGAGATTTTCCTGCAGTAGGTAGCCGTTTCTTTCTGCAGTAGACTAGTTGCCCATCAAGGTTATAGGATCGAGTCTTTACTACTATTTAACCTATATATGAGAGGAAAAGAAATGGATTCACACTTTTCCCAAGGCGATTTGCATGTAAGTGAATGCAATGAATTGGACTGGAATTCAAACTCAGCTCTCTAATTTCTCATTCCAAGATGATCTCCATTGCACCACAACACACATTTGGAGGGCGTTGTTGTAGTCATATATACAATGATCCATTACTAACTTCTAGCACTAACTTCCCAGTGGGGGGAAAAAAACTGGCTGGTTACATTTAATGCCTAAAAAAACAAAATTATTTACATTCCATCACCACTGATTAGACCTCGAACTATCACCAGTCACAATGAACAGATGTCCCCTCGAGGAGGCACTGTGTCTTGAGAGAATATTGGGCTTCAAGATATTGAATTCACAAATTTCCCAGTGGAGTTGTGAGTTCAATACCTGGCCACAGCAGAGTTGAACAAAAACTTGAAGAGTTGAGTTACAAAAGGGAATTGACTGAAACTGAGATATCCAGAAAAGGCATGGCATGTGGAATTAGAACAATCTACCCCATGACTAAAAAGGGTTTGGTTTGAAATTCCAAAGTATATCACCTGAAGAAAGCCAGAGCATACAACAACTAAAACATTATGAATATGTCAATAAAGACAAGGACAACAGTCTGAATAGTGTAAATAGATAAAGATGTGTGAAAGTTCTCAGAATATATCTGTAGAAAAGACAAATTGAATAAAATAGACAATAGGAAAATAGTACTTAGTTTTTGTTGCTGCATTTTGTTTTCCAACTTTATCAAGGCAAGTGATACAAAAAACAAAAGCAAAATTTTGTATACTTACTCAAAATTCAAAAATTTCAAGACACTCCTGTGAAAGTCTCTTTTTGGATATCAGTAATTTACTTTTTTTTGACTAAGTGTGTAATTTTTTAATTTTTAGTAACTATACAACATTTCACTTTTGTTTAACACTTGCCTTGATAAAGTCAGATGACGAAACATGTCGGCAAAAGCTAATACTGTTTTCTTATTGTCTATTTTATTCAGATAAAGGTGAAAAAGAAGATGATTATATAACAAGTTGCTCGAAATAATCTACTAGTTTGATTAGAGGCTAATTTTTGTTATTGTTTAGTTAAAGAGGTTAAGATAGTGTTAAGGTTATTTAACAAACAAATGTTTAAATTGCATTTTTGTCATTATTTTCAAAAGCAATTCATGACAAAATTCTAAAACTGTTACTTACAGTCACTTCAACAGAGCATCCAATTGTGTAGGCAGGATTGTTGGTGGCTTCATCATGGCATAGAAGCTGGACAAGAGATGTCTTTCCAACACCTTCAGAAATTAATAATAAAGTCATTAAGCACAAAACTTAATTGACAAAATATACAGCATTTAAAAACAATTTTCATTGTCATTAATTTTCAACTTTATTTTCATAAACCATCTTGTCTGCATATGTGTTCATAAGCTAATTTTAAGAGAAATAAAAGTTCACTAATTTATATGACCAGCTTCTCACAGATTTTACAAGTACATGATTGATTTCTCAAAGCTTGAAATTAGCTTTTGTTTTTTTGCTATAAGTGCTTGAAATTATTAGATTGATAGAAAAAACATATTGCAGAATACTGGTTATTTGCAAAAAGAAAAAACTATGTTTCTATATATAGTATGAAATGGTTCTGAAAAGTTCTTGGTACAACTCAGAAGCTGTTCACCCAACTTAAAAAAAAAATCTGGTCATATATCAGATTCTATGAAGTGGGTCAGGGAGTGAATTTTTCAGCATCCTACACATATACTTGTCTCTAATTTGAATTTTTAAGATAAAATTTCTAAACAAAATAATTGGGATGTTAGCCTATACTATACTGAAAGCACATGATAGAAAGGGCTTATATGAAACTCTTAGCCTCAAGCATGAAAAATATTACCAGTTGTAATGAAAATCTATGTGGTTTCTTCAATAAATTAAGTTCACTAAGATATACTAAACTATAATATGTGTTAAGAAATCAAAGTTTTTAGCTGACATATACAATGACTACTTGCCTGATAATGTGTTGTTCCTCCATGTAATCACAAATCAACTGGCAAGGACTCTACAAGACTTCTAAAGGTTTCCTCTGATGCCAAAATATTAATAGCCAATTCTTTAACAGCTTCAAATTACATAACAAAGGTTCTCCAGTGCAGATATGTTGGTTCAACACATCCCATAAGTACTCCAAGGGATTGAGATCTGTGGAGTTGGAGTAGTACTGAATTTTAGGTTTTACATTTATATTATATATATATATATATATATATATTCTGGAGTCTTTGCCTAGATTGGTTGCCAACCAAATATAGAGAACCCAGTCTGCCCAGCTATTTAACCAATAGCTGGGGGTTAATGTATGTCCGTGTATAATTGCTAAATAAATAAATAAAATTATATCTCACACAAGGGTCAGGAAAAAGACAATTTAAACTCAACTTCAAAATAGGTAATTTGCAGTATTAGTAAAAGTGAACTTTATTTCATCCATTTTTAAAATATCAATCTTTGAACTCTTAGAGGGAAAATTAACATGATTTTTTTTGTTGTTCACAAAGAAAAGACAACTTCCCTAAAAGACTCTTGTTACTACTGTAAAATAGTGAAAATGTACCTGTATGTTAAATTTCAGATTAATACTAGTAAGTAATTTCTAATTTTTTATACAAAATAAAGAAATAAAAAATAAAAACAGAATATTTGAAATAACAATATTATTTAATTCTAAACTGAAAGTTCTCACAAACAATTTGTCTTTCATTCTGGTAAGAAGTGTTAGTTATATACCCCTTAGAAAATATTCCCAAACATAAGTCTCTCTCTTGAGTTGTTGATTTGTTGGATTACTGGCCCGCCCCTGATGACAATTACACGTGGCAAGAATCCAACATTGTCAACACCTCACAAAAACACAGAACCTCTGTGTTAAAAAATGCATTTCTGCAATATTTCAAAGTCTAAAACTTGAAGTAATATTTGCTAAAAATCAGATTAATTTAACATTTAAAACAGCCCCTCAAATAGAGTTTCAGAAAAGTATATTTTATTTTTAAAAGATTTTTTTAATAAAGAGAATTAGGTTGTGTTGACAGATTTGTCAATTTTAGCTTTTTTTTTTCTTTTACTGCAAAAGAAAACGAAAAAACTCATTCCAATCAATTTTAAATTCAGTTTGAACTTGAGCAAAGTTTTTTTTTTAATATTAAAATATTAAATTTAATTTATTAGCTTGAAGTTAAACACTAAAATAAAAGATTCAAGATTTTTCACTTTTAAAAACGGCTACTCCAATTACCGTTGTCAAAAAGTTGTACCAGTTTTCTTTTTCAGTTTGTTAAAGAGGTAGAGAAGACAAAAACCGAATTTATAAGCAAGGGAATTTTAAAATACGATTTTTCACGTTGTTATCATTTATCTGGAAACGAAAGTCGGCATTAAATGTTGGTTGATGAAAGACATCTTATGAAGAAACGGGCTATAAACAAACCCAAGAGAGGACAGAAGAAATTATTATTGACCAAGTTTTTTTTTTTTTTTTTTTTAAAGTGTCTGTCGTTTAGTGTAGTACGAGAAGAATTAGATCGAGAGAGATTATGTACCACCAATCTTCCAAATGAAGAAGCCTGCCTGCCTACCTAAGATCAGTATTTGAAATCTTACAAGGGCTCGAACATCGACCTCCGTCGTCGGTGAAAACTGAAAACTGTCAAAAACCTCAAACAAATAAAAGACGTAAAAATAGTTTGAAACGCTAAGAACGACTATACTTAAGTTAAATGTGAGAATCAATTGAAAAATAAGTAAAAGAATCGATAAAATGAAAAAAAAAATCATTAAGAGAGGGAGACACGCCTCAAAATAATAAACATTTTTGTTGAGGGGCCAAAAAGAATTTGTTTCCCCCACCCTCGTTTTGTTTTCTTATTTAATCCACAAGACACGCAACAGTTAAAAAATATAATGCAAACCGAATAGTTAATGCTTCCAGCAGTTTAAAGATCTTTCACCTGAATTTGTGAAAGAAATAAAATAAACCAATAAAATTTACCAGAGTCTCCAAGAACAAGAATCCGCACTTTGCATATTGTAGCCATTATGTAGAAAAAAAGCAGTCGACTAAAGAGTTACATAACTTTATTATGCAGTTATCTCCCTTAGATCAAGTTGACTCTCATACACAATGGATAAATACAGCATAGCATACAGAACAAAGCTGAATACAGATATTGATTTATTTAATGTTGAAATTATCAGTTTTTTTATATTTGAGTCTATAAGCATTTACTTAGTTCGGTGATAGAAAAACATTGGACGTTTATATTTAGGTAACACCGAAATAGATGATTTTTTTTTTCGAAAAAAATTCAAATACTCTCTCCCGTTTTAAAAATTCGCAAAAAAAATCAGGAAATTACTCGATCTAAACGAAAATTTCAGTACTTTTTTACGAATTTTTATGAGAAAACCTTATTGAAATATTTTTATGATTCACTTTCTCCTTAGCTTTTCCCGTGTCTAATTTGTTTGTTTTTTTAGTGGGGTTTCGAATTTTCATTTTTAGTCATAAAAAGAAAATCCCAGATGTTATATGATTATGTAATTCAAGTGTAAAATATCGTCCCAAACCTAACCAAAATTAAACTCAAAAAATAACTTTTTTGAGAGTTTTCACCTGTCGTCCGGTTCTCACTCCTCTTTTGAACAGGAGTATAAATCTTTTCCCTTTTTTACCTGTTTAGGACTGAGTTTCCGGTTCCTTCTAAATTTTACATTCATTAACTCTATACTTAACTAACGTTTCCGACTAAACTCTGAAATTTATACTATTATTGGGATTTCGGTTCTGTCTAAAGTTTTTTTCCCTTCTCTTTCACTTCCAGTAGCGTCTTAGTGGGGTTAACGCCTTGTTTGGAGTGAATTGATTAAGAGAAAAAATAAATAAAAAGAAAAGTTCATGCATAAATTAAATGAAACACATTATTTTCTTTCAGATTTGGACCGGAAAAAATCTACACTGAATAATTATTTAAATAAAAAAAAACAACTTTCTTTTTTACATTCCTTCAGTTGCTGTTCGTAACAACAGTTCTTTTTATAAAAAAAGAAAAAAGTAAGGACATGTTTAAAGAATCGAAAAAGTTTAATGCCATTTTGTGGGAAATTTAACGACCCCCCCAAAAAAAAAAGTCGTTGCTTGATGAACAAAGTGAGACAATTGAACATTGTAAAAACATACTTTATACAAGAAACACAATACATAACGAGAAAGAGAATAGAAGATTGCTAAAAAGTAAAAACGTTCAGCGGTGAAAAGTCAAAGCATCGGAGACGAAATCCAAATCTGTTTGAAACAGATGATACACATTTTTTTTATGCTGTTCAGATTCTGCTTGTTATTTGCATTATTCAGGTTAGCTTGGGGCCTACATGTCTGTTCTTGAATGGGCTCGAGACACGTCTCTTTCATTCCAGGTCTGGCTGGAGTAACCTAAAACACGTTCATTCGCTCCGTGTTCTATTTGACGTCTGTCATCGGCGCTCGAAATCCTATTTCGCGCCTAATTTGGGGTCGTACCCACTATCATAGGTTCAATAGACTCGTCTCATTATTAGCAGGAGCCATCTTCCGAAGGGAGATGACCAATATTTTTATAATTTTTGAGTGTAAACGTTTTTAAAAAGAATTTTTTTTTCAACTGTTAGGTTATTTTTTTATACGGGAGTTCAAAAAGAAAATAATTCTGAATTACTGCTTTTACTACTCTTCTCTATTGGAATAGTAAGATGATATATGATAATTCAATAACTCTTAAATTCAGAAAGATTAAAAAAACAAACTCATTCGTTGCAAGTTAACATCAAACAGGTAAGAAAATAATAAAAAAATTAAAAGAATGAATTAAACTCAAAAGTATCATTTCACTAGTTTTTAATTAAATTCTTTTTATACTTCTAATGTAGCATATAAAGTAAAATTATTAATTCTACCAAGTTTCATAAAGCACATAGAATAAAACTGATGTTCTTAAACTACTGGTTAAAAAAGGTTAACGATAATTTATTTTTAAACATAAATACAAATTTCTTGATTGTAGCACTGCTGGTGTTACGCATTTCTTTAATTTTTATTTTTAATTTATTTTTAATTTTCGCGCCATTTTAAAATCAGGGATTACAGTAGAAAACTACTGTTTTTGACTTATGTTATCATGCGTAAATAATCCTTATTATTATTATGTCTTAAGTAAAAAGTAAGCATTACTTTTACAAAATCAAGTTAATTAACCCTTAAATTTATTAATTTATTTTAAAACATATTTCCAGGAAAAATATTGGATTTTTAAAATTGATGTTTACATTTTTCTTTTATAATGGTGGTTCGATGAGTGACGAGTGAATGTGCCGTGTTTTAAGAATGTCTAAAAACTTTCTTTACATGCAGATATTTATTTTTCATTTCATACGGATTAGCTTAAATGTCTTGGGACATTGTAGTAAGTGCGAAATAATAACTCACTTCACTCATTCCATTCAAATTCGGGTGAGAATAGGGAAAGAAATTCGCAAGTCTATGTGAAATTGTTTTTGGACCAATGAAAACCTTGCCTTCACAGAAATTGGCCGGTCAGTCAAGAAGGAAAGAAACGTAGCGAGCTGATGCGAAATTCTTTTTGATATAAAAATGAAGAGAAAAATTAAATTAATAATAGAAGAGTGTCTGAAGTCATGTGAAAGTTTTCATTTCTGTTCATCGCATTTAGCGTTGATTTTCTCATTGCCAGTGTAAAATTATTCGCCAATTATATTATCAGCCTCTAACTAGTACGCAGCATTTCAAGGAATTTTCTCTCAACAATCCACAAAAGCTAAGTATTTCAAACTATCTCTCTCCGTCTCCTTTTGAACGTATGCAAACCATACATCCTTTCGGTGAACAACGAACTGTTTTAGCATTGTTTTAAACATTTTTAATATTATTTTGTCTCGGATCATTTAATCTGTTGTATGAACATTTCCTCTTCGTGACAATACGTTATAACTACAGATCTTTAAGAATTATGATTTATTTTCCTGAAACGAGCTACTGACACGACTTCAATCGTATAAATTCGTAATCACTCATCTTGTTTCGTTAAAATTACCCGTGTGTTTCCTCGTCATTATTATCCTTCATTAATCTTTTTGACATCGGTAAATCAACTGTTCCTTTTAACCTCGATTATACGATCCACAGCTAAAAATGCCGGAAAAATTGTCGGCTCCTGGAACCGCTCTAGAAAGTATCTGACTCTATCTACTATGCTTTATTTTTACAAGAGTCAAATCAAACCAAAAATGCAGTATCGCTGTCATATCTGGGCTGGAGCTACCCATTTCTCACTTTCCATCCTTGACAGAGTTAAAATCTTGTGGGTGATGAATTATTTTCCACCCTACGATCCTTTTCCCATAGACCCAACGTCGCAGTTCTATTGCTACTCCATTGCTACTTTCATAGCAAGTTTTCAAACGAGCTCCATTCTTTAGTACCACCAAGACCCGCACTGCCACGTCCACAGTGTTGAATCACCCTTTGGTAAGAAGGGCATTCCACTTTTCCCCAAGAACCGCTACTTTGTGAAATACTGGCTCCCGCGTGAATGCTACGAAGAACGTTAAACTCTTAACCTCTTTAAGTTTAGGCTCAGTCGTTATATATTTGTGGTTTGTTGGGAAGTAAAAAGTCCCTTTGAGTGGTGTCATGACTTTCCATAGCTCACCACCCATATCCACACAAAATATTACACTTAGCGACCCAACTCTCTGTCCCATCTTTCTAACAATATGTGAACCCCCACTTCCTCTTTTAATACGTAACAGTAGTCGCTGAAAGCAAAAACAATTAGATCAGACTGACGACCACGGCAACAGATGAAAGCCAAAGCTAAAAATAGATTCTCATACACGTGACGTATAAGAACGATCGAACAGGAAAGATCAACAGAACACAGTTCGGTGACGAATCTTGAAGGAAACGGAGTGTATATAAAATTCTTATGTGAATTGACTTTTCGAATTGAAAAGAAGGAATGACGACCCCAACTCACCTGAAACTCCAATACAGAATTAAACGGAGACGAGTCTTACGCGGACAATTCCTCTTTCACTTGTTACAGTCAAGCAAGTGAGATTGGACGACGAGGTAAACTACAATTTAACTTAACACAATGCAGCTTACATTAAAGGCATAGGTGAATGGCGAAACGTGACCGTTACCTAACTTAACTGGACGAAGGATCCGAAACATGAATTCTGCACAGTTAAACCTATGGCTTACACGGCATCGAATCTTCATAACCAAATTTCTGCAGTGCCGAAACTAAATGTCTGGGTAATGAACGCAACTTTGAAGAAAGAAGAATAGATCAAAAGACACCGCTACTTGAGCGAACGAACTGGTTTGAAATTGAAAAGGACAAAGAGAATCATAAGAGAGAGAGAGAGAGAGAGAGAGAGGGGGGGGAAGAGAAAACCTTATTTTATTTCAGAAGAAAAACTGGAGCAACATTTCTGTTTCAACTTTTGCCCTCATAAAATAACGCGTGCATCTTTCCACACAGAAATATCTAGCACACATCTTTCCACGCATTCTCATATGTTTTTATCTGTTGTCTAGTTGCAATTAAACCTTGTACATTAGCGTTTGTCTGTTGGTTATCGTTCCGAAATCGTTTATTTGACCCTGCACTGAATCCTTTCACTGTGGAGTGGTAAACCTGGGTGCTTTTTAGACAACGAGTTGTTGTTTTTATCTTTTTTTAAATATGTGCCATAACAGTGGAAATCAGAAACGTCTTGCCATTAAAAACAGAGAGAGAGAGAGAGGAGGACGGGTGCACTTTCTTTTTATACTGCTTTATACAATGCCATCAAGTGGACCTTAAGAGAAACCTCCGGGTTGATAATCCTATAACTTTTAACGAGGATTGTTGATAAATTAAAAATGTTAAATTAAAACTAAAAATATTATTGTTGAGTTTTTTAAATTTATCCTCTCTGATAAGTGTTGCCTACGGCCATATCACAAGAAAATGTTTGTAGATTGTAAGAATTTTTGTAGATAAAAATGATTTACCGACACATGTCCTACTAACCCAGGGGTGGTGGGAGAAGAGGTGGATTCATACCTTTCCTAATATTATTTACGCGTAAGGGAATATATAGAACCCGAGTAGACTTGGAACTCTGTTCTCCTTTTTCCAATTACGCTACCTGCATATCCAAGCTTGCAACACCTGGCATTCTCAAGTGGTAACCCATCTAGGTACTGACTGGGATCAACATTGCTTAACTTCCCTGACCGTACAAGAATCGGTGTTTCAACTTGATACGGCAGTAAGCGTGTTGTGTTAAAGTGTTAGCATATAACTGACAAACTAATGTCTATTATGGGCATTGGAGACTGGATATTACCATGATAGTTATTCTTTCTTTCCAAGAAATATATTAATAATTAAGTTATAATTGTATTTGAAACGGGAGATATGTGTGGAGGTTCCTGCTCTGTCACTCGTTTTTCATCATTTCGGATTTAGCTGTGAAAGTGTTCGATCTAGACAGTGGTGTGTTCACTACACCGTAAATAAAAACCTAATTAGCACTTGTTTTGAGATTCTCAGGTTAAATATTTTCATTATTAGATTTATATATTTTTACAACTATTTTGTTACTTTATTTTTGACAACGTTTTTAACTTAGACATTAAAAGTAGAAAAGTTGTTAGGGGGAAATATGAAAAGAAGATCGAATAATATTAACTTTGGTCAAAATTGCAAAGAAAGAATAAGCCTTAAAGGTTTTCAGAAATAACAATCAAATGATGCACAAAACTTCACCTATTGGTAAAAAAAAAAAAGATTGGGGTCCAACTAGTTCCTTGGAGGTCGATAGAGAGATGTAAGTTGGCTCAGTGGGAAAAAGTCATAAGGAAAATTAGGAATACCGTAGGTCCAAAAATGGAGCCATGAGAAACTTCCTAGGAAAATTAACAGGAGATAACTGATAACTGACATCCATCAAACATGGTACGTGGAACTAGAACAGTCTACCCCAGTGAGTGAAATAAAGAGTTCAGTTCGACATTCCAACCACCTGAAGAAGGCCGGAGCGTATAACGGCCGAAACGTAATAAATATGGCGACAAAGATGAGGACAATAGTCCGAATAATGTAAATAGTGAGTCCCCTGTATTCGCAGGGGTTAGGGGCCAGAACTGGCCGCGAATAGTTAGAATCCGTGGATACTTGTAACCCTCACTAGAAATTCAAATTTACAAGCCATATAAACCACAGATTGGGGGTTATTTTTACGAGCAGCGACTAGGTTAACTTTGTCATCTCTGACGGATTTGCTATTGAGACAGGAGTAAATGGTAGCGTCATCTGCATAAATGCCTACTTGGGAACTGATGTCATCAGAACGATCATTGATGAAGATCAGAAACAGCGTGGGACCCAGTATAGGACCTTGAGGAACACACGCGTTCGTATGAAAGGATCTGGAAGCGAGCCCGTTCAGAACGAATTTCATTTCACGATTTGATAGGAAGGATTGGATTAATACCATAGCCTTGAAGCTTCCGTAGAAGACCAACATGCCGAAACACTATCAAATGCCTTTGAGAGCCACAGCTCGAACTTCACTATTATTATCAAGAGCTTGATGTACATATTCTGTGATGGCCGTAAGCACATCAACGTTAGACCGGGCAAAACGGAATCCATATTGTTTGTCGGAGAGTAGGTCGTGAGAGGTAAGATGCTTAACCATTTCAGCATTGATTAAAGCCTCGAATATTTTGCCGAAAAGCGGAGACTAATAGGGCGAGTTAGAGGGGTCAGAAGGTTCTCCAGATTTCTTAAAAACAGAGACTCCAGATGAGGACTTCCAACAAGCTGGAAAGCACAGAAGCAGCGAGGCGATAGTTGTAGAGTTTGGGGAGAACTGGGGCCAGTTCGGGCACATTTCTTTATGCCGACAGCTGATATCCCGTCACTTCCACTTGCCTGATGGGAGTCTAATTTAGAAATGATGTCCGAGACCAGTGACGGGGTTATGCGCATATCACTCAGTAGAGCCTCAGTTCTAGGGGTGGGGGTGGGGAATCAGGTGTGGGTACTCCAGATGAGTCAAGTGTTGAGTTGGAAGAGAATTTCCAAGCAACACATTCAGTCTTATCTGCTGTAGATGTCAGGACTTCGAATTGATTGAATATGGGAGGGATTGAAGATTTGTTGTTGTTCGTTTTAATCGTCAAATATATAAGACCATTTTTATTATTGTTGTCGTTAATAATCGTTTGACTGATAAATAATAGGGGAAAAATCGCATATAAGTCAAAAATGAAAAAAATGGGATAAACATTACGATTCGAAACGCTTTCTCTACATCTTTCATGAAAAATGTTACATTTAAATATAAGTAAAATACAATTATTCATGCCAATGTATAGATAATTTAATAAATACAATGTATTAATTGTTAATATAATAAATCTCGTTTTTTATGGTCGTGCACAATGCTACATATCGGGCGTTTTGGAAGACCAGGTCGGGGTCATCCCCCACAAGCGTCAAATTAGCCTGCCTATTATAATTGTACTTGTCCCTTTCTTCGTTCCTTCGCACAGCTGTTACGGCCACCCAACCAATACCTCATAAATAATGGACTATTCAGTTTTAATCGCGTGAAAAGACATTGCGTGTTTTCAGTGAAAAAACGAATTAAAGAAAGAAGGGAATGTAGAAATGTTTCACGGCTGTTTCAGTGAAATGAAAAAAGTCGTCAATTTCAAATATTTTCATTAGAATTTACTTCTTAAATTGACGACCAGTATTCATATTTATGAGAGCTATCGCAATATTTTGTTAAAGTTGTTAAGCTCAAATATTTAGCGATACGATAGGGGAATTTCTGCAGATATTTTATATAAAATTTATTGTCGTAGAATTCGCCAGGAACTTCTGTCGGAGTTAACTCCTCCTTCAGTCCGTTAACCCTTTCACCAGGGGTCTCTCTTCCCTGGCTATAAATAGCCGCTGACCCTTCACCTCTATCTCTTTTTCCTTCAGGATTTCAGCTATCAACCTCGAAATGTAGGCGCTAACAAGGGATAGCGTGGAAACACGCTAAACACAATACACACACACGCACGCACATACAGAATATTCACACACGCACGCACATACAGAATATTCACACACACTTCGTCCTTTGTACTGTTTCCATGTATTGTAACTTGTTATTAATATATATTTGTATATCCATATATTATCGGTCTTGTGTTTTGTTTGCTTTCTTTGCCTTCTTTTTTGGACTTAATCAAAGTCCAACATTTTTATGTAGTTGGGCTCGGCGGGCAGGAGTATCTGAACCTTACATGCGTTTCTTATACGTCTGACTTCTATCAACAACATAACAGCCACGGCCGCTCTACAGATGCATGTTTCATTAAATAATATAGACAAGTTTTGTCTATTTATTTTAAGTAAGTTCCTTTCATATTGTCTGATAAGCTTAATAACATTATTATTGAAAGACGAAAGGAAATCACCATATTTATACATGTTTTAATCCTATCTAAGCTTTCGGCTTACATAAGCCATTATTAAAGATGACAATTACATTTTAATATATCAAACAATACACGAACAAAACAATAATAGTCTGTTTTTGTTGCGTGAAAAATTTCAAAGCAACGACAAACTCGTGTAAACACAACTATACTTAAACATGAAAATAATAAACAAAAACTAAAAACTCTTGAAGCTATATACATAAAACAGTTGAAAGCTAACCTGAACAAAATAAACTATGAAATCTCCACAAATATTCTTAAATGCCTATAATTGATAACAGAAGCCATTGGTTTATACCAACGGCTTTCCATAATACTTCTCGTTTTCACTTTCGCGTGGTCATGTGTGACGTCACAAGCTGCGATGCGATTTTCATTTCTGTGTCTCGTATACACGAGTTTGTCGTTGCTTTGAAATTTTTCAGCCGGGTTTCGATCCTAGCTAGCGGCAACCGGACGTCTATCCACATTGATGAGCTATGATACAGCGAAACAGTCTGTTTTTGGATGACAATATATATGCTCCTGAAAATTTATTTCGGTTGAGCTCTCTGGGGAAGAAGTGTGAGTTTGTAAACAGTGATTGTTACGGCTAATGATGCGAGACTCTTCGGTAAAGTGAATCGAGTTCTCTCAGTCACTGTGTATTCATCCAAAAATAAATTCGCTTAAATTAACCTTCATCCCTGCTGTGCGTCAACGGCTTAGGTGTAAAATCTCCGACTGACGCCAATTCAGCCAGGATTTCGATCCTAGCTAGAGGCAACCGGACGTCTAGCCACAATGATGAGCTGTGATACAGCGAAACAGCTTGTCTGTGGATGAGTATATATATATATATATATATATATATATATATATATATATATATATATATATACTAAAGGGAATTAACTTAAAGCTGGGTTACTTAACATGCTTTTCAGAAATATCAACCGTCTAAAGTTGTGCAACGGATCTGAAGCAACAAATCTTGAGGAGGATTTCTTCATGAAAAGCATGTTGGGTAACCCTAGCTTTCAGTTAATTCCTTTTAGTAACTCAACTCTCCAAGTTTTTATCATCTCTGCTGTGGCCGGGTATTGAATTAACTGAAACTGACATATCCAGAAAAATCATGGCATGTGGAACTCGAACAATCTACCCCCGGGTTCGAAATAAAGGGTTCAGTTCGAAATTCCAACGTATATCACCTGAAGAAGGTCGCAGCGTAGAATGTCCGAAACGTCGCAGATAGAACAACAACCCGAACAATGTAAATAAAACAAATATTTGTAAATAATACCAAAATACTATGCAATACCCACTGCAATGAAAGACTCGAAATTCTACAAGTCATTATTATACAAAAGAAGGCATTCACATAAGATAAACTATCTTTCACTACAGGCGAGAGTTTCTTGACGCCTGTATAAAATATTTAAGATGCCTACAAAATTATAATAATACGTATAAGTATTTCATACATGTTTTTTCCGGTGTGAACAAATTCGCTTTTACTGTTGCACATGACGTCACTCTAGACTGATTCCAATCTCATTTCTGTAAAAATACCGGGATGTAACCAACAGAATCTTGCCTACCAGACAGACAACAACCAGTTCTTGATAACGAGTGAGGCCTTCGAAAGTACTTGAACAGAACAATAATAAACTTCGGACAGCTTATCAGCAATTTCGATCGGCATCATACTCAAAAATTGGAAATATGCAATAAAAAATTAATCAGACAAACATTTCGGTTGAATTTTGTAAAAAA